TGAGTCGAGCCGAGTCGAGTCGAGTGTCGTTGGGCTAAGAAAAGGGGGAGGCGAATGCTGAAGAAATTGAAGAAGAGAGAGCCGACTAGAATGGGTTGCCTGAGAGGTCGGGCCGAAAGAAGCGCGACAAAGACGATAGACGGTACCTCCTATAGTCTGTAACCGAAGTTCCCCAGAGAAAATCGCGATCGATGAGGAAAAGGAAACACAATACCATCGATAAATGTACGAATTAATCCGATGGTAATTCGCTTAAGAGCTTGCCCGGAGGTACTTCTGCGATTGCTCGAACCGTTGCTCCGTTGTTGCTTGCGTTACTGGCTCTGACGCCTCGCTAGTTTGATTATTTCGATTATCGGAAGTTCCTCCCGGTTTCCCAGTCCCGATGATTTCCATCCGCCAACGTTCACTCCGTTCCGTCCTCCTCGTTTACAGTAATAATCGCGGCGAACTCGGAATAGACCGAGTTTCTAGTCGCGCGGTAAACAAGCTAAGACGTCGGGTTGCTGTCTGAGGGACTCGGTTTTCCAGAAATTTACCCGCGAGGTAAAAGCACGTAAGCATCGAAGCGTGGAAACGCTTGAAAATTTGCGGTTCTCGTAGGCAAATAACCGGATGAAATCGTAAATCGCAACGTCCCGCTCAACTCATCTCTGAGGAAACACCTGCTCCAGCACTTGCACGATCCAGGGGACGGAAACCATATCCGGTCCTTCAGCGTGCCTTCATCCAGAAGCAAAAAAAAAAGGGAAAAAACGGGAACGTTCTGCACGCAGAACGAGGGTGCAAAGCGCAGAGACAGGGAAAGTAAACGAAAAAGGCAACCGAGGCGAGGGCATAGCGGAGAATCGTCGGCAAAACCGAGACAGAGGGAAACGAGAAATCATCCCGGTGGCAGTTCGTACATAACGTTAATTGTCGCAATTATTACGATATTATAATTCACCCTAATTGTACGGCCAATCGGCACGCGAAGTGCTTAATTGCTTCTTCCCGGGGGGTGGTACGGGAACGGGAGAACGGAACGGGTGCGTCGGGGGTGGAGAAAGTAGGCGAAGGGAAAGTTACATGCAATTAAATTAATCGCCACCACTCTCGAGTACAATGATAATCCCGGTTACACCGCTACTTTCTAGAGTAGGTACTCGTCGCGTATTTGTTGCATTTTCCAGCGGTTTTCGAAGGAGGAACGAACCGGGGAAATCCATGCCCGTCGGTAATAACGATGATTCACAACGATTCCCGATGGGAAGAGAAAAAGGAAATTTTCGCAGTTTATTATCGACCAAATTAATGAATCTCTCTCTGGCGATTTACAACTGCTGCCAACCTCCAACTTCGATAATTTCTTACAGAGATTACAGAGAAACGAAAAATACTTGTAGAAAGATTGTACACATGTATCTACGTTTATAAACCTATTTCTTTTCTATATGATAATCCATTTTATCACAGAATTACAAAACAGACTATGAAGAATAGAAACGTCTAATCTCATCACACTAATCCTCCAAATCTTGACCATTGATTTTAGTTACAAACATATGTATGTTTTTTATTTCCGACATTTACTTTATGACAATAAATTATTAAATCCAGACTACAGAGATTTTTATCATTACACTCTGCGGAGAACGGGAAATTGAATAGGCAGGCATGTTTCAAAGTCAAACGACGCATTTAGAGTGACGCGAATCAACCAGTAGTCCAATCTTAGCTCGACGAGAAACGTCGTGGAAGCGGAACGTCGCGGAACAAAGAACGGCCAGGAAAGAGGAAAAACCCGGAAAGAAGTTTTGACGCTTGGTGGGAAAAATAAAGGCGAGCAACGTGGCGTTGCTGGCTTAATTCGTTGGCTTTACTTTGTGCGCGCCGGGGCTCGCGTTCTTCGCCGTTCACCGGCGAGAACAAGAGAAATATATTTAACGAGGTACTTTAAAAAAAATAATTCCGTTTCTCACCGACTTGGTCGACTGTGCATGCCGCGTTGCCACGGTGAAACAAATAATTACGTCATCATTGTTCGAAAGGGTTGCGATCGTTGCACCACTATCAACGTCAAGAATAAATATTAGACTTAAAACACACGGTCCTAAAAATCCGTCGAATCGTTTCCGAAGGAACAAGTGATCAAATAGTGAATATTTGAATCTATATGAAGAGAAATCAAGAGTTTGGTCATTATAAAAAAAAAAAACAAATGGGACTACAATCACGCAGGGAGATTCAGAAAAGTGTGCAGTATTCCTATTGTTTGTAAGCGAGTCAGCCAGTCTGAGGTACGGCGGCTTTCTTAATAAGCCGTTGCTCGGTACATAGTGAGTACGCCAGCTAGAAACGAGCGAAAAGACTAGACTGGGCGAACGAAGATATGGCGCGAGAAATAGCAGTGTTCATTTGCAGATGAGACTTCAGTCCTCTTCACACCCTAGAGACTTCGTTATCTGAAATCTCCGGTCGTCTCCATCGACCGACTCTCGCACTCGAATTCGGAATTTCGCTCGACGGCTGGTATCGTCTCCCTTTTCTTCCCCGTCGCGCGACTTTTATTGTTCGCGGAAAGATCTCCGTAATAAGCCAGCCGCACGTCGAGCACGAGATGCTCGCACCGTTGCGGAGTATTCATGGTCGTTTGGACGAGGACAGAAGAAGAAACGGTGTTCGCGGTGCGACACTCGGTTGCGGCTGGCTGACCACGTTATACGAAGTCTTCCAGGCACAGGTGACGTTCTCGATTCGAGGCGCGCACATCCGCGGAAAACGGGAACGCTAGCTACGGCCCTGTCGTCGGGATGAGGCTAATGGACTAAAGGGTAGGAGCGAGAAAACGGCGTGCGCCAGTGCGCAGCCGTGAAAGGGTGCAACCAACGATTAACAACGAGAGGGCCGAGAGTGTCGCCGAGAGTGTTGTCTTCGTGTGCCGTTTTCACGCAGTCATCGTCCTCGACCTGCTCTCTCTTCTCCTCCTCTCTGTTTCCATCTCTGCGCGGCTCTCCTTTCTCTCCGTCGCGCGCCCGCTCTTTCTTTTTCTACCCACCTGCGTTCATCGCTATCTCACGTACGCCCTCGCTTCTATCCGACCATCTTATTCGCTCTTGCCCTCGGTTCGCATTCGTAATTGAAAGACGAGCCCTGCGGATCGTATACGTATACCATCCCTCAGGCGCTATTATGCAGAATCTTCGAGGCGCTCGTCATCCTCGTGACCGCTGTCACGGTTCCGAAGATCGAGGATGAGACGTTGATGCCCTCCGCGTATCTTTTTATTCTTCCACTTCAGTCATACCAAAGCATAGGCAGAAAAGAATTGTAGTATCCTTATCGATACGTTCTGTGATAATTATCCTGACGAATTTTGATCTCGCGATTAAATAGAATTGTATGCTTCTTTTCGGGATTCGAATGAGTACGAATACCGGAGGCCCGGAAGCGGCAGACTGGCGAACAAAAAGACGACGTAACGCGCTGCATCGTGAAAAGGTGCAGCCAATGATGAACAGCGACCCAAGGGTGTCGTTGTGTTTCGCTAGCTGCGTATATCTCGGCGTAGTCCCGACTAACGTAGCCGAGCGCGCGCTCTATTTCTTCCCTCTTTAGAAAAATACCGTACGACCCCTGAACCGTCTCGAATGCTAATGCCAGCTTTTCAGGCCGCGCTCTACCCCATTCAATCGTTAGATACATCCAACAATTACTTCGTTTCTCTGCACTTTAACGGCGCTTAACGTATCCGAAGAGACGTGGTCTCGCGAAAATTCCACTTCATTGACGGAGGTGAAATCTCAAAAGATCGGAACTACACGACTGATCGATAATCAGGCGATGTCGTTACGAAATTGTTTCTTCCTCCTGTTTTTCTTTCATCGGGAATGAAAATTCACGCGTGCCGAAACCTTGTCGAGATCGAATGATGAATCGAGTCGCGTTACAAGGCGATTTTCAGGACGCGGGATGAGAGGAGAGGAGAGAGGCGAGATGAAACGTAAAACCGCCTGCGAAGATGCGCAGATGACGCCGAATGACGGGGCGTTCTCTCATTAGGCATGAAAACTCGCGGCTGAATTATAGCCCTTAATTTACACCGGACCAGGGTGTTGTTCCCCTGCAAGCTCTTGCAAGCCGACCGAGCGGATGAAAACTAGGCTAACGATGCAGACGCAGAAAGGAAGCCACTCGTCGCGGAGAGAAGTTAAAATCGATAAGTAAAACGCGCCATCACGTTGCCGCAGAATCAAAATGCAAAATGTTACCAAGATCTCCGGTTCAACGTGCTTTACGTGTACCCAACAATTTTACCAACTAGCTACAGAAAATATTCGAGATATTTGAAAAAAGAAGTAATATAATGTGTCCCAGCAGATTTTCCTGCGAAGTCGAGACCTCGGCGAGAAACGAGATCGCGAGCCGACAAACCGCGAGGTCGCCAGTTTCGCGCGTTTCACGTAACACCTGCAGCACCGGCAGCCTCTCTTTCTCCGCGTCGGCGAGAAAAGCTGGCGCGAGGTGTCATCATTACGCGAGGTCGTCGCTTTGACGCGCCTTGTCGCATCGAGCGCGACAAAAAGGCCGCGCAAAGAGAGTTTCGGGGAAAAACAGGCGCGTCCTTTTCAGCCGTCCGGTGTAGCTGGTGAATTAAGCGCCGGCACGCTTTCGCCGGCTGAAGGCGAAACGAGAAAGCGAGTGAAAAAAGAAGAAGAAGATAGAAAGGAGATAGAGAGAAAAAGGAGCGACGGCGACACAGTCGTGCCCGCGTTTGATCCGCGTAGCTCGGATTAAGCCGACGGAATTCACGCAGCGCGGGTAGGAGAACGCGAGAGCGAGCAACTCCCCTGAGCGTGGATGATATTACTTCAACAACCGACCGGCGGTCGCGTTCAAAGAAACGATTCGAAGCACGCCCGACACCTGAAAAGGATTCGCGTGCAATACCGTTCTCCTCGCTGTGCCGCGTTTTCTTGCCCATCCTCGTCGCGGCTCGTTGCACCCGCGCGAGTCAGCCCGACACGATAATTAGCTTACGAGCTAATTTCCCGCTGATTGTCGCAAATCATCGCCGAGTGTCGGGGTTTAAACGATGAAAGCCGTGTACGCGAGACAAAGAAAAAACGTCAAAGAGGATTCTGTCTCCTGTACGCGGCGCGAGCGGAGAGGCAGAGGGTGGAGACACGTTCAAAGCGCAAAGCTTCGCTTTTCGGCCGCGTTTGATGTCGAGCACTTGTGAAACGACCGACGGCAGCCGCTCGCGCGCCAACCGATGCTTCGCTTTAATTTGAACCTCGGATCGTTATTGGATGATAAAGCAAATACCGGCTCGTAACAAGACCGAATCGTATCAGCCGCCAAGTGAAAGAGTTATCGCGAGCGTGCTACCATCGCGATTCTCTCGTCCTATTTCCAGCCGCGGTGAAAAGAGAGGTGGAAAAGTGACAGTTCCAGTTTCCCGTGATACGAAGCGGGAACGTAAAAAGAACGAATCCAATGACGGCTTTTTTTTTCTCACTGTTAGCTTCGAAACATCCAAGAGTCCGTTAAATTCTCAATTACGACGCGCAGGTTGGCATCGGAGCTTTTCGAGGCTCCTCAAGTTCGTTCGCGAGTCACGATTTTCACGCTGCTCCAATCATCTCCCTTCTAAACTCTTCCTGCCTTTCCTTCTCTGTCGAGCAGCGCACAGAACGATGGGTACTGTTCCGCGCGCGAGTGCGAAGGGCGACACTTTCGCGTCGCGACGCATTGCGGTGTTCACGATGCGTGTCACGACGACTACGACGACGACGACGGCGATGACGGTTAGGAGAACGGCGCGGCGCCGCGACAGTGTCAGTTGTGGCACGCACACGGACGCCCACTTTCACCAAGTCCCTTATGTCTGCCCGTCTGTCTACCCGATTGTACGTATGTCTGCGGCGTGCACGCACGCGTTAAGGACGTCGAGATGCATGCCTCGATGAAGTCACCACCGGTGTTGCTGCACTTGCTCAACATAAGTGCGAATTGCAACACCACTCCCGCGTCCGCTCGTCACCGCCGCCCCTCGCCGTCGCCACGCTGCTACCACGACGCCGAGGGGGTGGTTGCGAGCCGAGTACCGTTGCGTGCATAACGTGCGGACGCGCATACTAATTACGGCGTTTCCATTTTGCACCATCCGCCGTGCCACTCGCTATCTGCCATCCATGGCCCCTCCGTTTCGTTTCCGACAGCTCTCCAGTGGTGTACAGTAATGGGGCAGCCGACTCTTTTCTCGTCGCTTGAAAGGAACGACCTCTGAACTCTGCTCTCCCGTAAGGGTACCAACAATTCCCTGCTGGACCGGCAGAAGTCGAATGCCAACGATATACACCTTTCTATCAAATTTATTATTGATTTAGATGCAGTTATGGAAAATCATTGTCAATTGATTCATTCCACTTGATTTATAAATATAACACTGTCGAATATTTCAACAACTACATTCCGTCGGTCTTACACGTGGTTAATTCCGAGGTACAATTTAAAATTCTGTATCTCGGTAGCTAGTATTTCGTACGCCGACACGAGAGAAACAGAGAGGAGAAAGACATCGGAACAGCCTCAGAAAGAAGAGAATCAGACGAATTCAGCGTCGCTTTTGTCGGTCTGCCTCGTCATTCGTATTCTGGTAATTAGTTCGTTTGCCTCTGCTAATTACGTTACTTTTTAATACCGTACAAGAGAGGAACGGCTGCGAGCTCATACGGGTCGTGTCGTAACGCGAGCGTGCACACGAACGCCATCCTTGCGCGCGAGGTTCATCTTCTTTTTTCGGGGATTCGAAAGCAACATCCGACGTGCCTCCTAATAGTCGCGACCCCTTTTTTCGAATGCGAGCGACGCGACTCGAAATTTCATCCTGTCGTGATTGCAAACACCGACCTGCCGACCACAAACGCGACGAGTTAGTGCTTCTAATTGTCGAACAGAATTCGTTCATGAATTCGCGCGAACATTATCACGCCCGCGTATTTATTCATTTTAATTTTTTATTGAGACGGTGTTCTTGAGAAAAAGTCAATTTCTAAATTTATCCTAACGAACTTGACAGGATTCGTGATATCATATTTTAATGTCTTCTCTACGGACTTTTCATAAACGACGGAAGATACGAATTAATGAAAAAAGTGGAAGCGTAATCGTTACGATTCGGTGAGTTTCGCTCCTATAGTGGGTGTTTATCTCTCGTCCTCTCAGGCCTGTAGCCCTCTCCGGTGGCTGCTCCAGCCTCCTCCAAGCTTGCAATTAGGGGGCGTCGGGACGGTACGCGACGCTACGTCGCCCTTTTGCCTGTTATTTAATTGGGATGTGCAATTGAATGACACTCGGTAACACCAAGTAACGGGAAAGAGTTGGCGTCGCTGCGGCTGCCACGCCTAACGACGTCATTGTGGATTCCCACTTTCGGGCCACTTCAACCTCTTTTCTCACCAACCACTCTCGATGATGGTTAACGCCTTACGAATCGACGTCGCCTCTGTTCTCAAAACAGGCAGAAATCCCGGGTTCATCGTTTAACGACTCTGTTTCTATTTTCACTCGCTGATAGAGGGGGACGCGTCGAACAAAAGGAGGGGAGGATTTTCCTCCCATTCGCGTTAATTCGCCGTGGCGACGAAACCGATAGCGTTACGAAACACCACGGGAGGATTCCCCGAAGCGATCTCGTGCGAACGCTCGAGATTCCCAAAACAGCTATTATAACGAACCCTGATCGCGCCACGGTCAATAAAACGAAACCTGACAGCGGATGATTGACAGCTGAAACGGCCCAAAGCCGAGCTTTATTGTCGCCCCGGGCGCAACGCCATCACGAATAGAAATAATTCTCGCCTAAGGACTTAAGGGATGATTCTCCCTCTCTCTCTCTCTCGCTCTTAATTCCTACAGTGCACCCCTGACATGGCCCTGCATCCGTGTAGATTCTTGCGGGAAAAAACTAAATCGTACCTGCCACCCCGTACTTGGCTACGAAAATAAACCCAGGTCCGATTTCCACTAGGTCAAACAAATAACCTAGATCGAAACGATCAATTCTCAAGTGCTTATTTTACTATCCGTGACTTTTTTTCTATCGCAAGTTAATCAATCAATGTTCGGTCACTCGAAGGGGAAGAAACCTTTTTAAATTCAGATATCTACTTACGCGACCATAACGGATCATTAACCAGATGTCAGGCCTAAAAACTCATTTCCATCGGTCCATCGTGGTTGAATCTCGGGTGAAAAAGCTGCGAGTCGCAGGGCTAAACTCGCCGAGACGCACTAACAAGGCGCAACCGGGCATCGGTGTTAGAACGAAGGAGAAGGTTCCTTAACGAGATCAGCTCCGTGAAAAGACGCGGTGATGCAGATTCGCGAGATATCCCGTAGGATTGCAAGGGAGACGGAGAATGAGCGAGGAAGAGAAGCAGTGAGCCTTTGACACTCTTCGAACAGGGGTGCACGGGGATGCGGAAGACGCGGTGATGAGACGTAGAAAAGAAGAAGACGAGCGGAGAAAAGTCGGAGAGCGTGGGGTAAGCAGGTCTGCATCTTGGCAGACTTCCTCGAGCTCATTACGCTGACAATAATTAACGTTGCTTAAAGTGTCGTTATGGAAATAACCGGAGAAGAGGCAGCGATGCAGACCTGTTAACGCGGCGGAGGGGGAGTGGAACAGACGACGCTGGAGGAATAATGAAGAGGACAGGTCGAAACGTAGAAAGAAGGAGACAAGAACGGGGTTAGGGAGGAGAGACGGATCCTTACGCTATCCAACGCATTCTGCGATGGAAAATGTTTCCATTGATACCCTGGTACCCGGTAGGCCCTCGTTCGTTGCCCGTTTGCGCTCAACCCCTCGCCCGTTACCCGGGGAATATAATTCAACGATCCTCCTCCGTGAAAGGCGAGCGGTGAAGCCGCGCGGGGCGAGAAGAAGGGAAGGCTTGCGTTGAATGCCCAATTATTATATCGTGAAATATCTGCTAGAAAATTGGATAATGCACTCTCTCCTCCTCCTCCGCGGGCAGGAGACGGACTCCTGGCTCTGGCTGGTACGTTGCGAACGGTGGAAGGGGTAGAAAAGTCGGGGGCCAAGAGGAAAAGAAACCGTCGACGGGGTAAAAAAGAGAGAAAGAGAGCCAAGGACCAGTCAGTCAGCCATGGGAAGAAGCCCCGGTGAACTGTGTGGGGGTGAGCGAAGATCTGGCTCACGCACGGTGTGCATAACGGCCTCTACGTGGGAAAGAAACGAAACCGCAGAAAACGCCAGTCAACGGCAGCCAGTATGCGGAAACCGCGGCGGAATGACACTCGTGCTCGCGCTAATTGGGCCCTCGAGGTGACGCCGCCGAGAGGGATGCTCTTCCACCCTCGGGACCATCCTCTCTCTCTCTCTCTCCTCTCCTCATGACCTGCTCCTTTCTCCGTCTCTCTCGCTCTAACGATATTCCTCGGGAAACTGTCCCTTTTTCTCCTCTCGCGACAGACGAGGCTTTTCGGGGGTTGAAAATGCCTGAAGGACGAGTCGAAAAGTGGGGAGCGACGGGGGAGGCGGTGGATGCACGGGGAAAAAGGCTGATTGGGGAGCGACGAATGAAAAGAAAAGAGAACGAGGACGACAGAAAGAGAGAGAAAGAGGACACGCGAGAGATCACATTAAATCTTACCGGGTGCACGCCTCTGCAGAGCACCTCTGCCGCACCCCTTTTCAGTCCTCTCTATTACTCTTTCTTTCCTTTTACTCCTCCACGCAAATCCACGTGCGATCCTGCGAGCGTTACCTCGGGAGGAGCGAAAGCGAATACAAACGAAGAATAGTGGATAAATAGACGCGTTAGGGTTCTTCGCGTAAAAAGAAATCCACAAAGACAAACGTCTTCGGCGCAGGTAACGTTTTTGTTAAACTGATTAAAGATAACGAATTTCGTATTGCCAACTATGTACCTATAATTCCATGTTTTTACTTTTACTTTTCTATAGTTCTATGATTTTCCGATATTTTCATATTTCAGTTGACGAGATGAACAATTATAAAAAGCGATGAAACATTTTTTAACCATATAAGCATAAAACAATTGCAATACCATATTGCATGTAACAGAGAAACAGTAGAATCATTATGATATCACTCACCAAGCAGCAGTAGTAGAAAATCTCCTTTCTATGATCCACGTAGTTTATCTGAAACAATGTATAGTACATCAATAAAATGTAATATATAATAAAATATAATAATTCTCAATTGTTAGATTCCTTACTTTGCTCAGCCATCGAAATTTTTTATAAACATGAATCTTTAACAATTCTTAATACGTACGTTCAGTATTTTGAAAATATAATTATAATAATGTTGAACGTAATAATAACTCACTAGGATATACATATGTATATGGATACTTCATTAGAGAAGTTATATACATATATATCTATATATTAATAATATATTAAAATATGATAAGGAAGCGCCATTGAAGTTTGATAACGAAACAGGCTGAGGCGAACAGAAGGGGTGAAACTGAACGATTACAGAAAGGAAGGAATTACCCGAAGAAGACATATTTATATTCGAACAGGCTTTCTGCCCATACACGTACATATTTTATTGCGATATTCATAACGTTTACAAAGACGCTTCGCGAAACTGCCTCGTTAAATATTTTACGGTGCGATCGACCCCGCCCTACCGCGTATCCGCAATGCACGAACCACTGGAGTGAATCGGATTCAATGGGGACTTCTATAGATGCGTGAATCTCCGACGAAAAGTGATGAAAAGACGGAGTAAATCGCGATCTGTGCCCTCAAGAAATACGGATAATCGACCGTAGAGCGGTCTGTCTCTATTTGATGCCATTTCACGTTCTCCAAGTAGTAGATAAATACTGAACGGTCTTCTAATTGTCGCAATTTCGCATGGTGCTTTCTCTACGAGACTAATTTTATTTACTTATATTTTTGTTCTATATACAATGTGAAAACAAATCATAAAATGTTTCACCTATTACTATATACTATTCTGTTAGTTCATGCAAATAATAATCTTCCTTTTTTCACAAGTGATCGCTATTTGCCAAAAGGAAGAACCATAAAAGTGCGAGAAATAGGTAGAAAGTGTGCCCCTACAGATTCAAGTTTCCAAAATAAAGTTTCACCATTCGCGAGCGAAGGGGAGTTTTATTGCTCTGTCATGAGGATATGTCGTAGCACCGCAAAAGATAGTTTTAATGTTTCTCGTCACGCCTTCCAAAATTTCTGCAGTTGATTTTCGAAGTTTCAAAAAATGTCAAATTCTAACCCGCCAATTCAAACCCCGTTATGATTTTTTCCTTTGCTCGACGACTTACAGAAAACTTTCTAATTTCCATATAGGAAACTCACATCAATTCTTTCGAAAGTTTCGTAACTCTAAATGTAACGTTGTCATTTTGTTTCAAAGATAACTACTTTATAAACACGAGACTGAATCATATTGTAGATACGAAAATAATATTTAAACACGAAGGAACAACTGAAAATATCCGCGTGACTTGAATTCCTCTCTCACGCATCAAACTTAGCTCCATGGAACTGCTGTAGATTCTAGTGTAGATCGTGGACTCTCAAGAGAACGAGAGAAAGGGAAGTAGTGAGTAAAAAGTAAAAGCAGATCGACGATGTCGTCGACGACGACGACGAACCTCGGTCCTTTTCATCGGTACGAAGCTTGATACTTCGAGAGAGATTCACCGTGGGCAGAGTAGAGAGAGCTAGAAGGAGCCTGAAGAAGGAAGGAGCTCGGAGCGAGAGGAGGTGCTCGCTAGTCGGGCTGGCCCTCGACCTCGATTTTCAAAACGATCCTAACTGCGTGTCGAGACAAGAGAACGCGGCGGTGGGGGTGGCGGTTGCCGCATTCATTCGACCGTTTCGGGGGTAGTACACCGCCGCCGAAATAAATGACCAAGCATCGGGGGCCGGGTATTCATAGACCCGGTACTGGCGCACTGCTTTGCTCTAGTGCCTTTTGGAATTTCGATTGAGGAGAAACCCGCGCTCGAGCAACAGAGACGGGGTCTAGCCGGGGCCGAATGGAGCGACAAGAAAGTCGAGAGAGCGAGGCCACGGAGAAAGAGAGGCGAAATGGATGAAGGCTGAGGCTGAACGCGAACAGGCCGACGGATGGATCGGTGTACTTCTGAGGAGGGAAGGGACCAGTGGGTGGAGGAGGCGGCGCGAGGCTTCTTTCACGTCAGGATAGTGAGCGATCGACCAAATCGCAGGTGAGTGGCTGCGACCGCGTACAATTTATTTATATAAACGCCGAGTCACCGGTTATTAATGAGAACTGCCGCCTATTTCTGTCAACTGAGACTGACAAGTTCCATCGCGCCGCGCTGTCCTTCCCGGTGACGTCGCGTCACGTCGTCGTCGTCGTCGTCGTCGTCCCGCGTCTTAGAAGCTGGTCACCCGACTATCGATTGACGGATATTCTAATTCGGAAATAAGTTATCTCGAAAGAATCATTTTTCCTTTTTAATAAACGTACATTTCTAAAATATATACTTTTCACCCTCGGTTTTAAAATTAAAATAAAAATACTAAAAATAATCGTCATTAAATCAGTAAAAACTTTGTTCACTGAAGACAGACAAGAAATATGATCAGAATGTGCAGCAAAAGTAGCTGTGCATCGCAGCAGTAACGATTATATTCACCGATACGATGAAGGATATATCTCGTTTCATCGAGCCGTCATCAATCCTAGTCGCGTGTCAACCCCTTCACGGTGGGTGCTTCTAATCGCTCGGGAATCGACAAAATGACGGGATACAGGAACAGGAGTAAATCTAGCTTGGAAAATTCGTTCTGCCGCCTGCGCACTATCCTTATTCCCTTCTGCGTAGCCGCTTTAGTGCTCAGTAGTTCGGGTCCTCTTTGGAAGAGGTGGAACACCTGCACCTGGCCGCATTCTCGCCATTGACGAGTTAAAATATGAAGGTCCCTCGGGATGTACCGACACCGAGCCACCTGGACCTCGCCACCGTCATCAATGAGCAAACTCTCGACGGGAGAGTAAAAGAGGGGGTCCCGTTCTCCAGGTTTCCTTTTTTCTGAAAGCGAGTCAACCGGCTAATGTGTCCCTCGGGGCATCACGAGAAATTTTTGGCAAAAACAAGGCGTGGAGGCCTTTTCCCATTAATCAATTCATCGATACGACAAGTCTCACAAATTCTCGTGCATTGCACAACGTTGAATCGGTCCACGTGATATTCTAATGCGTCTCCGGCTCGTTTCATTCACCACGAACATCCCGACGGAGATCTGAGAAATGTAGCGAACTTTCTCGCAGGCTGCTCGTCCGCAGAAAGATGACACGGAAAAATTTTTGCTGCATAATATCCGAAATCGATTACCTTAAGGATGTACTGGCTACACAGTCAATCCGAAAAGTTTATGTACCTTAGAAAAACGCAGTTTCTATAATTAAAAAGAAATCAGACGTCGGAAGAACAATGCTAATAATAAATAGCTACGTGTNTAATTTTTCAAAAAGCCCATGAATTGATGTAAAATTTTGCATGTATCTTTTTAATATTAATAGAAATCTATAGTAACAAATTCAACATGGTAGCATTGTTTAAGTCATAGCCTATACATCCTTAATGATAACAGTGTAAATGTATTCTTACAGTCCAAGCATAAAAGAATCAGCACCTGCTAATTTCGCGTTCAAAATTACGTCATCATATTATATGATATATGTATATAATATTTTGTACAAGGATATAATAAACTAAAGTACATATCAATCGATGTTGACTTAGTGACGTATCCCATAATTTTCCAAATCCTTTTTACCGATTTTTTCCATCGCGAGTCATCAATAAAATTAATCCCGGCTTTGCGGCGGCTTACCGATCGTTAAAGTCTCTGCTGTGCAATTTTATTTATTTTTAAACCGCTACGCATCATTGCTCGAGGGGGTGGTTCCGGCGACCATAGCCGTCGCGTCGTCGGGGCGAACTTTCAAAAGAAGCTGGGGGCTGTACTGTACCATAGAAGAGAAAGAGAGAGGCGGCTAAGAACCAGGTGTCACTCTACGACTGTACAAAGAAATGATGGATGTCTAGCACAGCTACCCTCGTAACGTGTCACGACCTCACCTCAGGTGTCACTTTGGGTCTACGCCTCGTTATCTTTTCGATGGGGAGAGACTAAAAACTAATTTTTTTTCATTTGTGTAGCTGACGTAACTCCCATTTCTGAATCCGAATTTTTGACACAATTAAAATGCTCTTAATATGTATTTGAGAGAATTATATGAAATCGAAGACGAGTCAGGAAACACATACTATTCGTTATCTGTTTAAAAATTATTTCTACCACGACTTTCCTCTATTTTTTCTGCGGATACCAAGAACTTTAGAGAGGCTATCAAGTAAAGTTTCCGGGCAAATGGTGCAAACTGTGAAAACGAAACGCTTCTCCTCGCGTAATTCCTTTCAATTTCACGGTCTTTCCTCGAATCGTTGTAATCGACCGGAACGAATGACCATTCGATGGCTATTTCGGGGGTGCTGCAAGAAAGACCATTCAAAAATTCCTCGAAAATATAACATTTTCCAAGAGGCTCTATTATAACTGAGCATTTAACGCAAGTATGCAAGTTTCGTTGGTCGGGCGTCCCGCTGCAGGGGGTTGCAAAGTGTGAAAAGTTCTACCACGATTTTCTACTAGTTTACGTTTCATCCCTTTACACAAAGGAAACTAGTTTCTTTTACCGAAATGTCGACAAATTAAAAATTACTTTAAAGTTGACACAAGAAAGAAAAAAATATTTTGATTTGGAACAAATCTAAATAATTCTAAAACTTCTTTTCACGAATACATGTGCTCAAACAAACGTACAAGTTCTTTAGATTTCAGAGACGAGATGTTATTCTAAATCCCAAGGAAGCGTCGATCCCCGTAAGGACAACTGTCCAGAAAGTAGCACCTGGATGCATCTTAGAGTCACTTAAATCGTAGGTGGCGTGAAAATTGAATGGCCGAGGTCTGATCGTCGCGATGCGATGAAAGAACCGTCCTCTCTGTTGCGGTGCGGGCATAGCGAGAAGTCGTGGAAAGTCCTGCGCGTGTTTCCTAGCACCTGGTGAATCGAGAACTCGTCTCAAAGTCGGATCTCGGCATTATTCTCCCGAACC